AATTTTTATTTACTTGCTTAGTGACTAGTTTCTTGAATTAGCTTCTGTGTGTTATAAAATATGTCTCTCCTGTTGCATACTTTGTAACAGTAAACAGTGAAGGCATTAAAAACTTTTCTCTACACTTTTTCTCATTATGCTATTTCACCAGTACATATGCAGACAGTGGAAGTCCTCCCTCATTATCACTTGTTGACCTCTATCCCACTCTGTTACATATGGGATTTTCTATGGAGTCTCCTTGCATCTCTTAATACTCTTACTGTCAGCTTCTTTTGGACACGTAGCTAAATATATTTTGACTGTACCTTGGACCGGCACATTGGGAACAGTCTTTGTATTTATGAAGCATTTAGCACAATGCATACAAGCACTTGGCTACTGTCATGCTGCTAGAGTGGGTCATGAGTTATGCTGCTAGTGGAAATGGAGTCAAACACTGTTAATGGCAAACCATTTAAACAGCATTCATTTTGAGTGCTTTGTGGCTTAGAAATAGATATATTCATAGTTACTTTGTTAATATCCATGAAAAATAATAAATTAATGTTTCTTAAGGACTTAGACGCTGATTTTTTAAATCATATCTACTGCAAGTCTGTGAGACCTAAACAAGGACTGGAGAAATCAATTATCTAATATCTTATTGAAATTTATTATTTTTATACAGTTTCATATACTGCAGTGATAAGTTCATTCAGCGGTGTTTCTTGACGGTATTAGTAAATCTTTTCCCATCTGTAAGCCACAGAGAAATCAAACTGACCGTTACTTTGGCCTCAGGAACTATGCTATTGCATATTTAGTGATATTAGTTGGAGTTTCACTTTTGACTTTAATGAGAGCAAGAATTGACCTTTTTTCCAAATGTACTGTATTTTTATATTCTCTCTGAAGTGATTCAGATTTTTAAATAATCAACCCATCTTATAATTTTGACTGAAACAGAAAATATCCTAAGAGACAATTTCATTTGTTTGGAAGAAGGATCAGATGAGATCTCCAAATGAGAAATATCTATTAGATTCACCTGTACAAAAACAGCTCAGGTTGAAAATTAACAAAAGCAGTACATGAAACAGATTAAAAATCAGTAAAATAAAGAATGGGCTTGCCATTGAAAAGAAACTGTTGTTTGTTTTATAAGGTAAGCAATACCTTAGTAATAGTAACCAGTTTTGATTGTCAATATTTGTAGCATAAAGTCCACTACAGATGGGTAGAGTAATTAATTTCCTTGTATTTTTCTATCATTCAAGAGAATAAATAGGGTTTGGAAGCTTTGTTTTTAGAAGAATATAAGGAGGAAGAAAAGGGTAGTATGTTTATTATCCAAGTGATCTAAGAAAGTTTTTTTAAATGGTTTTCATCATTCAAAATATTAATAATGATATACCACAGAGTTCTCCTTTATATATCATCTTTTGTAAAAGCTTTGTTCCCAGAGTTAGGTAATAGCAGTCAATTTAAATCAGAGGGAGAAAAAAAAATAATATTCTTTTAGCTAAGATTTGAAATGAGGTTAAAATGGAAATTTGACATCATGTTGTGGATGACTGCAGAGAGTTATGTCTATACTTTGCCTGCTCCTGCAGATTTTTCAGAAGAGGTGAATGTAGGCTATTGTTCAATGTAACATTGAAGGGTGCAACTACTCAGAAAGCATAGATAGCTAAGCATGAAAATACAGCCTGGGGTGTTTTATGCTGTTTTAAAAACATTTTTAGAAGAATTTAAGAGAACAAAAATAACATATATCTAGGCTGCCTAGGGTTTGCCAGACATACAGACTACTAGGTTACTTCTTTTTCTCTGTTTCAGTGTTGTCAGCTCCAAGCAAAATGCAAAACTAATGAGTCAGATCCTGAAATAGCAAGAGATTTTATTTTTAAATAATGACCTTTTATGGATTTTTTTATTTTCCTTCAAATATTTTAGCCATTTGGATGTTTGCTTCATGTTTCAAGCATTAGTAGTGAAACCTTGATTTATTTCTTAAGGAAAAAAGAATGCAGATAGCTTAAACAATGTTTAACAGCTAGAGCTTTAAAGACAATATATATCAAGGGATTTGTAATTGTATAATGGCATTAAGCAACTCTAGTGATGTCACTAAACGCAGTTCTAATAAAGATGAACACCACGTAGGCATAGATAATAGAAGACAGTCTTCTGCAATGACCTGTAATTCCTGCTCTGGTTCCCTGCTATTCCTAACCTCCAGAGATATCAAAAAATTGTGCTCCAATTAGTCTTTTGAAAGGAAAACAGCAGTCATTTCTTCATAGACATAAGTGAGGAGATAGCCCTGCTGTGGAGTCCATTTTGCTTTTTATACCTCACAGCAGGGAGGCAGAGTTTGCCGAGTGCTCCCTTTGTGCTTGGGTAATGTGCAAGTTTTCTGTCCTGTTCTGTAGTGATTCGAGAAAATTGTACTGTGAACCTAGGAGCTGTGAAAGTGATCCAATATCTAGGTTTTAAGAATTGCAACACGTGTGGGAATGGGATTCACCACTTACCTTGAAATTGCTGTCTCTTCAGAATACACAGGAGGCAACAGTAAAATGAGAATTTATTTAAACAATCCAATCATCTAGCTAGCATTGTTACTAGGTTCAGACAGGTGTACAGCAATAAAAGGAACCTTACACTTAAAGCTACCTATGGTATAGACCAGCTCTTAGGGTTTTCTGTCTGTCCATACTGTCCAGCCAACAAGCTGTTGTGATGTTTACACAGAACTAGGATCCAGCTCATGAACTAAATCATCTCCCTGGCATAATTGTTCACTGAAAAATATCTTAATTTGCTCCCTGGCATAATTGTTCACTGAAAAATATCTTAATTTGAGGATATCTGTAATTTTATGTCCTTACACTTTTCCTGGATTTTTAATCAGATTTAACTACTCCCACTCAACAGGATTTTCTGTGAACCATAAATCAGGATATTAATCTTGACACTTTCCTGCTAGGTAACACATAATCCCCACCAAACTTTTAAAATCCTAATGACTGTTGTACATGGATAGAGTCACCTTTTCTACAGAAGATGCACACAGTCTATTGACATCTACACTGGTCTCGAACTAACCGTATTAACGTGCCGTCCGCATACTGTTGGGTGAACACTTCCTTCTGATAGATGACAGGTGCTTTAAACCTCACCAGATAACACCTTTATAAACTTAAACCTACATTTTCTTTAGATTTCTGTTTTGAAAATCATATTTTTTACAAGAACGTGAACAAAAATAATCCATGCATCTCATTCCTGAGTTTTAGACTAGGTAGCCACGTGCGTTACGGTGAGAATGGAATCACATTTGACACAGTGACAAGAGTAAATTTTTAAGACTGCTCTAAAAGATGGATAGTCTTGTGGAGATCTGAACTCAGCACTGCTTTCCAAGAACAACTTAAGCAAAGATTGTTGCTTGACGTAATGTTGGATATTAGAAAGTCTAAGTTTTCTGATGTCAGACTAGATTATCATGTGTCCTTGACTATTCAATATTATGGATTCTGATAAAACCCATGAAAAAAGTAAGAAAAAATCTGGTATAACAAAGAATCATGAGCTAAAGTTTTTTCAGCCACAAGACTGTATATGTGTATAATGGGTAAAGATCTATGCAAAAGATAGTTTTCTCTCTTGAAGTTGCCAGTTACCTTTATGAACAGTGAAAAATCTGTAGAAAACCTTATTGAGCAGTGAAAAACCTGTAGAAAAACAGGTGGGTTCTGAATCCCCCGATGCTGAAATAGAAAAGATCATTGAGGAGTCAGTAAGATAGACAGTATGTATGGCAAGGCCTGCTCTTGGCAATAAAGATGTTAAAATCTGTGTGGTGCTTTGAAGGTCTGAGAGGCTGAGAAGACAGAACTATTATGTACTTTGTTGTAATATTTTGTTATTTTGTGTTTTTTTTTTTTTACTTGAAAAAGTGAGATACAGGAAAAATAGGCTTATAGTATTTTTGTTTGAACCATGAATTGCTGTTGGATTCAGTTAGTGGCGGGGGTTCAACACATATGTTCCTCTTCTTTCAGACATTTCTATTATATAAAACAATCTCAATTTAGTTGTAAATTCCTGGCCCAGACCAGGCTTAACCACATCCAAAACCCATCCGTTTACCAGAAATATTTTTTTCCAAGTGATATATTAATTTCAAAGATCAACCTGAAGTGCTGTACATAGTCACATGACTGTGTCAGAATTAATAATAGTACTTGTGATAGCTCTTCATATAGAGTTTCGTCAATCATATATTAAATAATGATAGAAATGTTGTCCTAGAATAAACACATTGCCCTTCTCCAAAGATGTTGGGAGGACTGAGCAGTGATGAATATTGTAGAAACAAAGGAAATGTCTGCAATGTAATGCTGCATGCAATCAGTTGATACTGTATTTGATGTAGCTGTGCTGGTTTAGAAGTTGAGAAGGTCTTCACAACATCCTGAGATCTACCACCACTGTAGCGAATTTCTTCCTAATGCATTGAATTGGAGAATTCAGTAACATAGTTACATTAGGACTTTCTTCTATCTAAAGTCATTAAGCACCATTTTTAATAAAATATCATATGTCTTCTCTGGGTTCATACCTCAGACATATAGGCATACATCAATTTATTTTTTATTCCTGTTTTTTGGTTATATCTTCACATACCTATGTGGCACACTATCTAGACCAAATTCTATATGAAGATTCCAGCAAGGTGCCTTTTTATCTCCTGCAGCTGTTATTTAATTTTTTTTTGTAAACTGAATACATTTTATAAGCTCTGTCTAATACATATTAGTAGATTGACTATAAGAAAGGTACTGATTGTAGGTGGAAAATCTAAACCTAGCAAACTAAAAATAAAATAAACGCATTTAATGAAAAGATTCTAGCTAGACAGAATGTTTAATATTTGGAGATTGAATGTTGGGGGGGTATTTTTCTAAGAAGAAATAGATTTTTTGGCAAGCAAAACTTTCATTTTTCAGGTGGAAAATCAACGAACTGGGAAGGAGGTATTCGTGTGCCAGGGCTTCTCCGTTGGCCTGGAGTCATACAAGCTGGTGCCTATATTGATGAGCCAACAAGTAACATGGATATATTTCCTACCATAGTCAAACTTGCCGAGGCACAGTTACCCTCTGACAGGTATGCTCTGTAGTTATCTCTGTTTTAGAGAAAGTCTCATGAGCATTTTATACATTCTGGTGATGTCTATTAAGATAGAGGTGAGAATGAAAAGAAAAAAATACATTTTAAAAGCACCTTTTTTGTCATTACTTACAGTAGTATGTTGTCTCTTTTCATATTAACATACTGATATATTTTACAGAAACATTGTATGTAAATACAGCTTAACTTGCAGAACAAGCACCAAGCAACATGATGGTAAGAGAATACCACCAAGAGCAACATAGTGTCAAATCATGGCCTAGAATTATTTACTAAAAGCAAAAAGAAATGTATCAAAAAAGGCTCTGTTCTGCTTGAGTGAACGTGGTAGAAAAAGAAACTGCAAGTGCAAATTATTTTAAACTTTACAAGCTCAACCTTGGCCTGCTTAGTATAACAAAACACATCAAAATGCCAGCTAGGCTTTTCTCACAGGATTTTTTTGTTCTCTACCAAGTTAGTGGGAATAATTCCTTACATGGTTTTGCAGCCTGATAAAAAAAAACCTACTGGACTTCTAAAATTCGTAAGATGCTTTATTGACACTCCTACATCCCTGTGCTTTGTCTTGTTCAGGAGATACCCAATCTCAGCAGCAAGGTGCCTCCACCTAAACTCTGTTGCCATCCAAATCCAGTAAGTGGAGAAACCTGCTGATATGTTTATGCTTTGACCACATCTATCATACACAAACAGCTTTTGAGCACAAAGCATCCAGAATCCACATGAGGAAAACCGGTGGTGAGCAGAGACACTCTGCTAATAATGACTCATTGAGTGCTTGAAGGAAATGGCAGGTCAGGACATGTGTAAGACATGAAAAATTAGTCAGACTGGTCCTGAGAGATCCCGTACAAGCAGTACCTGCCGAACCTAAGCAGTTCAGATTGTTCTTAATGTGGGCCGATAGTATGCACTTTGTTTTCATATTGCTTGAGTGAAGACTAAGCACTGATGATTTATTTTGATCTCTTTGATAGAAATCCCAATATACTCATGTAACTTCCACTTGCAAGTTGTTCCACTCTGATGCTTCTGTGTAGATTAGGTGCCATAATTGCTGCTTCATGGTATAGGTCAGAATGGGATGCCATGGACTAGCTTGAAGCATCTCAGGTACAGCAGCTGAATTCCTATCACTCCACTGAATTCTTCCTGAGAAATAAGAGAAATGACTACAATTAGGATTCAGTCACGAGGAGAGAGCAGGTTAAAAAGGGAAGGAGGAGGTGCTCCTAGTTACAGAAGAAAAATGTCATCAGAAAGAAGAGGCTGATATATCCCTCCTGAAACCAGCAGACGTGGGAATGCCAGAGTACCGGACATACTACCGGAGGCACCCTTTTCTCCATCAACAGGCTGTAGAACAGAAAGTGTACAATAGACATGCATCTGTCCTGCTCTCAGCTTGATAGTGGGCAAACCTGAAGGGGCGAGACAAAGAGTGCCGTACTCAGGCAAGAAAACATAACAATTTGAGAGTGGGAAAGACCCTAATTCAACAGACCCCCCCAGACAGGGATGCACCCAGAAAGCAGAGTTATCGGACAACATTGCTTTAGGAATTCTGGTATGTTTTCCTGCCCATCCTTTGAGAAGAATCCTACTCAGAATGGTACTGTTGCACCCAATTGCTGCCAAGAATTTCTTAGTCATATGTAGCTCGTGGCTTAAAAAAGTGAAGATAGTACCTGTCTTGTAATAGTTACACTAATGTGAAAAGGGTTTTACATGGTAATGAAAATTAACATAGACATTTAAAGGGTTTTAAAATTTCAAAAGAGTTTTTGTGAGATGTTGCTCAAAATGCTTAAAAAATAATTACTTGTTAGTCTATATATCAGCAAAAAGTAATTTCCTATAAAACTTCTTGTAAAATTTGTAATTCACACCAGGTCAAAAATGCAGATTGTGATTTCTCCCCCACCAGCTGATTCCAGCAATTCAAAGGCTTAATTTATGGAAACATTTAGATGCCTTGCTTATTTTATAACTCCATTTTGATGTAAATTGACTGACTCCTTCAAAGCATGATCAAAATTGTCCAGCAGCATTTAGAGATTTTATATATGCGTGTATGTGTGTGTTGTTGATAAACACACATTTAAACATAGTTCATTTTCAATTTTGAAATGACTAGTTGTGTGTTAAATTCTGGTATGCATAATTTGCTGGACAGAGTTCTGTCCTGGTTTTGGCTGGGATAGAGTTAATTTTCTTTCTAGTAGCTGGTACAGTGCTGTGGTTTGGATTTAGTATGAGAATAATGTTGATAACGCACCGATGTTTTAGTTGTGGTTAAGCAGTGCTTACACTAGTCAAGGACTTTACAGTCTTTTATGCCCTGCCAGCGAGAGGCTGGGAGGGGGCACAGCCAGGACAGCTGACCCAAACTGGCCAAAGGGATATTCCATACCATGTGACGTCATGCTCAGTATATAAACTGGGGGGAGTTGGCCAGGAGTGGTGACCGCTGCTCAGGAACTGGCTGGGCATCGGTCGGCGGGTGGTGAGCAATTGCATTGTGCATCACTTATTTTGTATATTCTTTTATCATTATTATTATTATTATTATTATTCCTTCCTTTTCTGTCCTATTAAATTGTCTTTATCCTATACCCATGAGTTTTACCTTTTTTCCAATTGTCTCCCCCATCCCACTGGCAGGGAGTGAGCAAATGGCTGTGTGGTGTTTAGCTGCCTGCCGGGTTAAACCACAACAGGTTCTTACCATTACTTCTGGGGATGCTAACATAGCACAGTGTATATTTCTTGGTTTAGGGTTACTTCAGGCAGCCTACTCCCAAAGAGCTTGAGCAGGTATATGTGTTTGTATACCTGGAGGACTGTGTTGTAGCAATTTACTCACATATGTCTGGTCACTTTCTCAGAAAAAAAAAAAATAGAAAAAAGATAAAATGGGTTGAGGAAGCAACTGTTCCTAATGGCAAAATGTAAAATTAATGTTTCCTTAAACAATGTAAAAATCAAAGGGGAAGAGCACCTGAAGTTTTTTCTCCAAATTGACCAACTGGAAGTGGCAATTCAGATCATAACAGGAAGATTTATTTTTTTAAGGAGCGGAAAAGCAGAGTTATAATATCTTCTGAGTAACGTGAGGTTTGAGTTATTCTTCTGATTTTGAAATGCTTTCTTACTCAGAATTATTGATGGACATGATCTGATGCCCTTACTTCAAGGAAAAGTTACCCAATCCAAGCATGAATTTCTCTTCCATTACTGTAATGCATATTTAAATGCAGTGCGCTGGCATCCAGGAAACAGTAAGTAAACTCGCCTGTTCACATTTTAAATATTTCATATAATTTTTATTGCAGCTTGAAAAGAATCAGGAAAAAGCCTTGGGCTATAGTAACAAATAAATTGTTTAAAATATCTAGCCTTTTCCCTTCTTTTTCACTTTTCTTTTTGCTAGAATGCACCTATTCACCATTTTACTGTTTGACATTAGTTTGTTGCTATGCACTAATGTTACATATCAATACAATACTGAGATCTATGGTATCTGAAACTATTTTTTTTAAACTTGCCTGAGAGATAGTCTATGCTACAGAATGAAGTATTCAAGGTTAGCTGTTACATCTCCCCAAAAATGTAGAGGTAATAGTATGGCTTGCTGAATAACAGCACAAGTATGATGTCAGCCTGGCCATTTTTGTTAACTAGCAAAGTATAGAAGAATCACTGAGTCAAAGTCATAATTATCCAATAAATGAATACGGTATTAAACGGTCCCTTTTCATGCTTTTTATCAGCGATATAATTCCACTTTGTAGGCCAAGGAAAAAAGCATTTCCCATTATCAGCTCCTTTTTAACTAACAACTTGCTGTTTCTGGTAGCAACTTCTACATTAACCAAAGCGTATTTCCCTTTCTATAAAAACCTCTGTGCTGGATGAAGTCAAACACACATTTGTCTCATCTCTGTTGACACTCAAAGTGACGACTTGTGTTACAGCTTCAAAATGATGATCCAAGACAGGCTTTGGCATAGCATTTTTTGGTTTAAGTACCTTGGGAAAGGACTTGCTTGATACTTAATGTGCAAACTTAAAACGAGTTGGAAACTTTGTCTTCTTGGTCCCCTTGTAGGCTCACTCTCTACCTGTCTTGGGCTTTAAACTAGGAAAAAGGAAAGTATTACATATAACATTCATTTACCACTACTTTGCCTGTATATCTTGCATTTGATAAATAATCGTAAGGAAGAACCGAGCAATTGGAAGATGTAGCTATCAAGTGCCATTTTGGATCTCAGGTTGGATGAAATTATTCTGCGTCATGATGAGGAGAGAAGAATCCAGGCAGGCAGAGAAGCTGTTTTTCTCAAACATACACCTTTGCAAGATGAAGTACCCCTTGCCTGAGGAAAGGGTCAGCTTTGTTATTCACTGAAGGTGAATTTAATGGGAAATGAAAGGGAGCAATGATGAGGGGCTAGTCTATTGTATTTACTTGAGGGGCAAAAATGTAGACTGTGATTCACCCTTTATCTTTCCTCCAAGGCAATCAAAACAGAAAGCCCATTCAGAACCTGTCAATAGCATTTTCATAACACTGGCTGATTTTTGTATGGAAGCGTTTTTGAAATACTACCTTGTCAGCTTACGTTGTAGTGTAAGAGTAGGCAATAGCCAGATATTCCTCTCTACTCTCTTTTGTACCGGTCCCCTGGGAGTGCTCAATGCCTGCTTCTTTCTTACTCATCCAGTCCCAGGTCTTCAAAAATGCCTTTTCCATGTAGATAATGCAATCATATTTGTAAAGATATTTGTTGCAGTCAGCTAAAGGTTTGCCCCTGTTTATCTCTCTCCCATGTGTTATTGTTGTATAAATATACTTGCATTACAGCTGTATGCACCTGATACTATCAACATTGCTGTGGGTACTCATGTGTAAAAATGAGTATGGCTGTTTTTTCTTCTGATATCTCAGCAGCTCTGTATGAAGCAACTGATAAATTCAAAGTGTATTACTAGTTAGAGTATTATTGTCTTCTAGCCTCCCACCACAACTCGATCTTTACAGCCAATCTCAGAGTCCATCCACAGTTACTATTTCTGCTACTATTAAGTGATATTTTAGTATATGAAAATGAACACAAGTAAAGCAGAAATATAATGCAATGTTTTGTTTTGTTTTGTTTTTCTGGAGAAGCAATTATTTCAAACATTTAATTCCAAATATTGCAGAGCTTTTGCCTAGCAGCAAAGAACTAGATTAGAAGTATCCTATAGCAACAGTTCATTCCCTATACTTAGGAATACATCCAAGAAAGTGAATGAGGCCATGTTCATTACAGACAGACTGGAAAGCTAGAAAATTGTGCAACTTTCACTTAACCTCAGCATGCTACTACTATCAGTTACAAGGCTGTAAGTCTTCAGGGTTTGGGTATAAACTGATCACCATTCCTATCTCTACATGTATTCCATGTCTAACATGCTTCATGGCCTAAATAAGTACCACACACCTCCATGAGCACAAACATTTTCCAGTATCCAGAAATGGCTGAAGCATCTCTCATCTTTTAGTTGCACCTTGCCAATGACTGTAGTCAGGCAAATAGCACTCAATTCACAGAGGACTGCCAGAATCAGATACTTAATATTCTTAAGGATAGTCTTGAAGAGGTGATATTCTTTGTCTAAGAAAAAACAGGAAATTCTTGAAAAAAATGTCATCAGGAACAGGTGTTTCTTTCTGTGTACTGTAAATGGTCTTTTAGACCAGGAAAGACTTGTGTTGTTCTTGATCTGTGTTCCTCAGATAGTTAACTAGCTTAGTTTGACCACAGCTACTTTGGAACTGTGTAAAAACATGCTACCTGCAGATTATGCCTGTACGTACGGGCCAAATGCTGCCCAGCTCTGCCTCTCACTAGACCTGAGCCTTGAGAGTGTGAAATTAATAACCCCAGCTATGTTCAACATCTTCTGCACTGCTCTGGTGATGGGCCCTTATTAAAAGGACCCAGTTGTGCAACTAGTCTGAGACTACATTATAGACTGCTGATCTCTTCATTAAATGTGTAACTTCTATTAATTTTAAAAATGCATTTTTTGAAGAAGAAAGCAGCAACAGCCAGAAATTCATAGAACAGAAAGCTTACAACTGCTAAGGAAAATGTTATTTATTTATTTATTTACTAACTAAAGTACAATCCATTCTAAATAAAGGGTAAAGGTGCATATATTCCTATATTTCTTACTATATTTATTTTCTGGGAAGTCTTAGTTTGTATGTCAGCTTCAACTTGTGTATTCCACTTTTTTACCTAGATACTCAAAGTGTAGAATTAACTTTGATCCTAAGGAAAAATGCATATACCAGGAAGTGAGAGGGAAGCAAAAATTCTGCTTAGTCATTTGGTACCTTCTTGCCTCCATCACTCCACAGTTCCCTTAGTAACTTTATCTTTGCCATTGTTAGATTTCCACTGTGCTTCAGTCTGAAAAAAAAAGGTTTTTTTGGTTTAATTTTTGACTTTTAAGCTATATATATGAAACAGGTAGATTTAGCGTATATGAAATTTATAGTACTTGCACACCTTTCCTTTGCTTGCAAGCTTCTGAAGTCTGACTTAAGCAGGTGTGTTTCTCACATTATCCAGGGAAGGTCAGAAACTTCAGGGTGAACAATTACCATTTTACATTTATATATTTAGAGGCTAAGCATTCCTCATAACCAAATCAATACACATCTTCATTAAGACATATTAGTTAGGTCAGTTACTGCATTCACAATATACTTTCCCCTTCATCAGCCCTTTGAAGGAGCATTTAGAGGATGTGTGCTACGTAATGCTCTTCTCAACCAACACTTCAAAATTTAAGCCTTACCCTTTCCAGAGAGACATGAGGAAAATAATCTCTTTTCTCTGCCCTCCTTCTCTTTCCCAGCCACAGAAAAAAAACTAACACCATTTTCTTCTTCATGTCTCTTTGATTCACTTATATTTTGCCTGATATTAAAAAATAATGCACATTATTCTTCACATTCTGAATTAAAAAAGGAATGAAATATCAGGCAATTTTCTTTGCTCATGATTCATATCTCGCTCTCACAGACTCGTGCATGCTGACACTTGGTATCAGTGCCTTGGAAACAGCCAAGACATACAGTCCTAGTCCTTGGAGGATGATTTCCTGTTATTTTGAAACCTTATAAATATGTGTAATTTAATTGATCTGCTAAAAATATAGAGAGGAAGACATGCTAAAACAGAGTCAGCAAAGTACTGCAATTTCTCATTTTCAATGCTTATTCTCCACAGCTGCCTGGTGTACCATATACGTACCAATATACGGAAGCAATACCTTTGGGGGAAAAAAAAAAAAAAAACCAAAATTTTTCTTACTGCCTAGTAAGTTGTAATAATTTAGGTTTTTTTAATCATGAAACATTTACATTTAAAACAAGGCAGGTGTAGGATTTGCCTTTACTGTCTTGAGCTGAGCCACCCAAAGTTTTATGTAGTTTTTTGTTAGTTGTGTATGTCCGATTATGCTTTGGCCTAATTTAACTCTGATCACATGTTCTTCTGCTAGTGCAAGTAGACCAGCACTTGTGTATTTGCTAAAGTTATGATTTAGCATAACTGAATACTAAAAAACTATCAAGAGCTCTGTCTCCAGAACATTACTGGCATATGAATCAGTACTATTAAAAATCCATTGCTATGACAACTTAATTATAAGGAGAGAATTCATCAGATATAGAGCAAATCTACAGTTGAATGGAACTACTGCATCTTTCAGGCTCCTCTGGTTGTGCACAAAATTTTCATTTGATAAGGAGGAAATATATTGTAATCCTGTGTAATAAACATTGAAAAATGTAATGCGATACAGTCTGTACTATAAAGAAATAATAATCCTGACAGTATTTTGCTACTACTTCTGGTTTGGACAGGTATAACCTTTCTTGTGAAATGGAATTAAAATAACACCTATTTCTGAAGAAATGAAAATAAGAAGAGGAATACCTTGTACTTTTCCTTACTTCTCGAAAGGACTATGATATGCATACCTTAAGGGGTAATAAGGGTTGCCTTATTAATTAAGAGGGCTTGCATTATTTACAATGCCATTCTTAGCTTCATTTTTGGTAATATCACATTGAGTCTTAATAGTTAAAAACTGTAAACTGAATTCATATACTTGAAGAACATTAACTTGTGAACACAATATTGTCCTGAGAAAGAGAGAGGGCAGGAGACAGAGTCTAGGCAGGTAGCAAAAATGGGAAACCTCTATGAAG